AAGTCTGTCTTGGTCTTTGTAAAGTAAAGTAACATTTTATTTGTATATTACTTTTCAAAATAAAAATCACAAAGTGCTTCACAGAAAAACTAAAACATTAAAACAAAAATTAACCAAAAGCAAGTTTTAAAAAAGATGTGTTTTTAGTAGGGGTGGGACTCAATTTAAAAAAAAATCTAATTAATTAGAGGATTTGTAATTAATCGAATTTAATCGCACAAGAAAATTTCCCCCAAAGTGTAAATGTTTTTTGTTTTATTTAAAAGGGTTTTAGTGGGTGACAGAATTAAATAATAGAGATGGAAATAAATATTGTAAACTCTAACTCTTTTAATTTATGGGGGGAAAAAGCATTTAAACAGCATTTCAATTCAAAACAGAGAAACAAAAATAATATCCCTGGCCAAAATTGGGCAGACTTAAACACAAAATGCTGTTTTAAGTACCTTATGTACATTTTCAAAATGGTATTGTTTTTAAATAATAATAATAATTAAAAAAAATCAACATAAAGTGCAGTTTTTCTTCTTAAAAAATAGGGCAGAAAAATAAAAGGTTATTTGACCTGCTTCACCTTTAAACTCTGAGTAACCTTAGCCAATATTATTTTGTACATTAGGCTAAAATAGTTTGATCATCAAAACTTTTAGTGCAAAAAATAACAAACCCATTGGACTCACAATACCTCCATGCTTACTTACTGTCCATCTCTTTCAGCCAGTTACTTAGACAAACTAGCCTTTTCTTATTTTCAGAGCTCAAGGCAGCTCTCTTTTTTGTTACTATGTGACCTGCAAGTGAGAACAGTTTCTCACATGGGAACAGAAGTGGCAGGACTAATCAAATATTTGCGGGCCAGGACAGACAGCTGAAGGTGGGTCCCTGCTTGACTGGACCACCACTGCACCAGGCAGTCTTTCTCGCTGATGGTGGATTCTGCTCTTTACAAACTCAGGGCCCTGTTACACATGGCTTCCTAATTGAATCAGAGTCTGAAGACAACGAAGAGAAGATGAAGAACTTTGTCTTTGCTGGCTCCTTTGTGCTGGCATTTTTACACTGTTCCTGCAGCAGGGCCTCAAGGCTGGTCCAAACCTCTTCTCACTCTCCCCTTGCAAAGCACTTTAAATCCTTAAAGTGTGGGTCAAGCACAGTAGCTATCTTGAGCCACTGGTTGTTTGAGTGTAGCTACACGTTGGATAGGTCCTCTGAACATGAGACATATGTCTCACCTCTAAGAAGCTCAGTCACAAACCTGTAGTAGACAGTTCAAGAAAGTAATTTTTACAAACTTTCAAATCTAGAACTTTTTGAAGAAACGGTAACAATACGTTAAAAGAGAGTTTATTTACCTGCATGGCTCAAGGACAGTTGCCAGCTCGTGGAGTTTTACAAGCTCTGATGGAGTTAAAATGACTAGTTTGTGAGCAGCAAAAACTGCCTCTTGATTCTTCAGTAGACGCGAAACCATATCCAGCGTTGAATTCCACCATATTAAACATCCTGTATGAGTGGCTCTTTCTGTTGCCCCAGTCTTGTTTGCTCCTTGTGTAATTAATCTATAGTAGCAGGGCTGTCTGTGATGAAAGAAATTTGCTTGCTTTTCAGTGTCATAAAGCTGTTGAATTTTACTTGAAATAGTCTTGGATCACCTGACGCTAATTGTAGGACATTTTTTAACCCCCTATCTTCTACCACTGATAGTGGTCTACAGTCCAGAGCAATCAATTTTGCAAGAGAATTTGTAAGTTTGTCCGATGTTGACTTACTAATTTTGGTCCGTAAGCCAGTCATTTCATCAAGTTTGGGATGCCGACACCTTTTGTTGGTACTTGGTTGTTGGTGTTAGAGCTAAAAGCTCCCACAGTTTTTGTGCTCGCTGCAACATGTTTTGCATTAAGATGTAAATCAGTGCAATCGGTATACCAGGAAATTGTGCATTAACAAAAGTTCTACTTTGCTTGGAATCCAAAGTGCGATTAAATGCGTTTTTTTAATACATTATTTTTTTCTAATTAATACATGCAATTAATGAGTTAAAGTCCCATCCCTAGTTTTTAGTGTTTTTTTTTTAAAGACACCACTGAGTCCACAGATCTCAAGCTCAAAGGCAGAGAGTTCCAGAGTGTGGGGGCCACTGTTACTAAAGCTCTGTCACTTTTCAGCCTAGTATGATGGACAACCAGCAAGCCGTGATCACATGGCCTCAGGGACCTGCTGGGGATGTATGGATGTAAAAGATCTCTGACGTATGTTGGTGCTTGTCCATGCGGAGCTCCAAATGTCAAGCTGGATCAGCAGGAGTATGACATGCGAGTAATTGGAAGACTTGGTCAGAAGCCTTGCAACAGCGTTCTGAACAACCTCCTGGTTTGATTGATTAATAGGCTGGTGTGAAAAGTTGCTGCTACACCGACCCTCGGCCTGTGCTTTGAGAATTCTGATAGTTAGTTATGTTAGTTATGACTCAGGGGTGTTGATTCATCTAAACTAACATAATCATCCTGCTGTAGCAAGGTTTCTGTAAGGCAGAGTAAATCAATTTGTTGATCAATTATTAAGTCATGTACTAACAGAGACTTGGAAGTGAGAGACCTAATGTCTAATAATCCACATTTCACTTTTTTACTCTTTGGTGCAAATTTGGATAGTGAATTGTTCTTTCTTTGTGATTTTTTAAGTCGTAGTAGTTAGTTAAAGTTGTTTTTTGCTGGTTTTAAGTTTGTTTATTGTCCGATTGGGAACTGACACAGTCTCTGGGGTTTTGGGGGGATGACAGGAGGAGAGAAGCTGCAGAGAGGCATGTAAGACTGCAACTCTGCTTCTTGGTCCTAACTCTGGATAGACATGTCCTTCTCTCCCCATCCCCAGTTGCTTCCCTCCTCCCACCTCATCTCTGGTACCAGTGCCCACTTCTCAATTTTAAATACATGTAGACGTTGAGGGCTCTTAGAAGGGGCCGTGCTGATACCAGCTGCTATCTGGCAGAGAGTCATTGGTACCATGCCCTTCCCATAATTTAAATGCACTTTAGAACAGCACACTGGAACATCACATATGAGCGGGCAGAATGAGTTATGGGGTCTTCACACCCCCGTTCTCTGTTTGCCATCTGGGGCTGGGGGCCCTTACTTAAACGTAAAAAAAACTAATAATAAAGAAATAAATAAAGAAATAATAAAGAAACTATGACAATCAAGTGGACCAGTATGGCAAAAGCTGTAATGATCCACTTAGGAAAGTAAATCTGTTGGGCATTTTTCTTTGCCATCAGACAGTAATTCTGATTCCTACAGTGCAGGACAGGACAGGCCAAAAAAAGAATAAATGACAGTATTCCCTGTTTAAAGTGTTCTTATCAAAGTGTTGAGCATTTGTGAAGGAAAAGTTATTTACATATTTATCTCCTAATCTTTATTTTTTATTTTTTTTTATTTTTCTTTCAACAATTCAGTTAGAAATGCCACAGCTGTCTATTATTCAATCCTTGTTATAAAGATTAAGAGTAATCGTAAGGTCTTACTTGACAGCATTACTGATATTGTTAGCCCTGTGCTACCTGCTGTCCCAGTGTGTTAAAATGAACATTAAGATATTCTTGTTTCTTTATAAGCAGAAAAAAATCAGTGATTAAAAATGTTTTTCCTTTAGCATCTTTGTTGGCTGTTCCTGCTCCAGTTTGACATGTTATATTATTTTTTTTTTTTTATCTGTTTCTTAAACTGAGCTGGTTAAATTAGTTGACTCAGTGAAAGCATCCTTCTGCTCGCTTGATGTTTTACACATCTCTGTCCAAAAATCTCTCCATCTATATGTGTCCATGCGCTGACTATAATTAAAACATAACTGGTCTCTGGTCAAGGTCCTACTTATTTTAAGGCTGTCATCCAACCACTTACATAAAGAAATAGCTGAAGTTTGTTTTGTGCTGGTAATGGAAGATCTTGGTTTCCTTGCCGCATTTGCTAAATCTTAAAGTAGGGTCTGCTGGCTAGACATCATAAGAAGCTGAAAACTAAAGGACAAAGAGCTTTTGAAACTTCTAGACTCTGGGCTGTCCCTGTCTAAGATGAAGATCTCTGAATTTGGTGGTCTCTTTTTTAAGACTTGCATTTGGTTAACTTTTCTTTTTCATGTTTCAAGGTGCTATTAAATAACATTTTATTTACTTACTTGCCACGTTGGATCAACCACAAGACTATTTTTTTTCCATATATTTTTATTGAAATTTTTTATAGTACAATACAAACAAATGTTGAACACCCTCTCATTCACACATCCATACATACATCAAACCTGCCTACATCACATTCAAATGTAGAAATGAGCATAGTTCTCACAGTAATACAAAAATACAATGGGATAGGATAGACAAGATTTTTCCTTCCTTCCCTTCTTCTTTTTCTTCTTTTTCATAAATGTCATTCACCTCCACTCCCTAAAA